ATTTAATTTTGTTCCTTAATATTACATGCGTAAATCGAACCAATAGGTACTAATATAATGGACACAAGCTTACTTCGATTATATTTTTTCCCTCTTTTCTAACCTAACTTTTACACAGCCATACAAGTATAAACCAATTGTGCTTGAACATTTCTTCTAACCTCACTCTTTTTGGTTTATTTTGCTCGCTTGCAGGTGTCTTGGTACCAAAACTCATTTCCGATACAAACGACCGATAGGCGAATTATGTCAACAAGAGGCAACCGACATACGCTCACCATACGGCACATACAGCAGGAGGACTTCGGCAACTACAGGTGAGTGATGAGTTGGACAAACTCGTATAAATAAATGGAAAAGTAAATAAAAGAAGGGAGAGCGAAAAGAACGCAACAAATATACAGCAAACAAAATAAAGAAAAAGATTAAGAAAATAAAAGAAATCACGAAATTGATGCGAAGAGTGAGTGAGACAAAGCCAGACTAGTGATAACAGTTTGACTCAACATGCGAGTATGAAGGCGGGTGAGGAGAGAAGCAAAATAAAATAACTGAAATGTAGCCACTAGCCACTGGCAGCGCAGTGTTGTATCTCCGCCTTGCAACAAATCATTGCTCATGCTCTGGCCCGCCCGCTTATTTGCTTGTTACCGCTTACGGCGCTGATTTAGTCAATCGAGTTAGTTCGTTTTTGTTTTGTTCGATACATTTTTGTTGCGTGTGCTTTCAGTATTTTTTTTTTTTTTTTTTTTTTTCTTGTCGACCAGAGGACAAAGTTTTCGCAGCCAAATCATGAATACCGTCATCTGACTTTCCATTTACTTGCCACTCATACTTGCCGCACGTCAGCGCAAGTCAATGCCGCCAGGTGACACCACGAGCGTGGCATCGCATGTGGATATATACATATGTGTACTCACCTGTTAGTGTGTGCGTGCGCTTATGTCATGCATGTGTGGGCAGCAACTTTTTCACATCAATGTCAAACTGTCTGCTTCAAAAGCATAATAACGAAAGACAAAATCGTGGCGAAAAAAAAGTGTTCAAAATAATGGAAAAGAAACACACAAATCGGACGAAAAATAAAGTAGCAAAATTGAAAGTCCAACGGAAGTTGCCATATTGGCTGCTGTGGAGCATTTCGTATGACAGTTAGACTACGACGACGGCGACGGCACCGAGATTAGTGAAGTGATGTGAAGTTCAAGTTAAATCTCTGACACGCCAATGCGCTGATTGACATATACAGGGTGTGTATGAGCATATATGCAGCCGTACCACAACAACACATATGTATGTGTGTATATATGTAAGCGTAATTCTTCACATGCATATGTATGTGTAGCTGTGCGCATGTGAGCGGCCGTTTTCCGTTATCTGTTGTCAGTGATTTGATTGCGCTGGCATTTGCGAACCTGGCGGAAGGGACGGCGTCTGCTGTGTCTGTCTGTGCCGAATCAAAAAGGAAATTACATTCTCACTATGAAATTAGTTTTTAGTTGTGAAAGTGTAAACCTTTTGCTCGGTACTCAGCCATGGAGTCCACTCATCGTGTCATTAGACAGCCAGCAGCGCCACTAAGTCCCAGTCTTGCCACTAAGTCCAGGGATCATTCAACCGTTCAGCAGTATGGTAGCACGCTTTTCAAGTATTTTTTATTTTTTTTTTAATAGGTAACTTACGAGTGTACAAATTTATTTTTATCTTTTTCAAGTGTTAATTTAGAGCTAGTCTTTTATTTCCCATAATTATTCACAAAAGTACATATATAAAGTATATTTTAGTTGAAGAATTATGGTATAATCTGTTAATAATAATGATTTTTGAAAGCCAGTATATGTAGGTGCATCATGCCTTTCATGGAAATTTGGACCAAATAACACTCTCCACTTCGTTCAAATAATATAAAAATATATGTTTTCATGGTTCTCAGAGCTTTGAGCTACATAACCAAGTATCCAAGTACAGAAGATAATATTAAGTCATAACTCTAGACTTATAAGTCCTGAAAAGATTCTTTAAGGAAAATACTTACATTAAATATTCCTTAAAATAATTTTGATAGGTCAGTTTTTATGAGAGCTATATGCTATAGTAACTCAATGTGTACAATTTTCTCCGAGATTGTGCTGTTGCTTTGGACCATAAGCCGTGCAAAAGTTCGTGGAAATATCTCGTCAACTGAAACATTTTTCCATACAAGCACCTAACTTCGATTGTTCAGCTTGTATGACAGTTATATTCTATAGTGATGCGTGCTGGCGCAATTTCTTCGGAAATTGTGTTTTTGTCTTAGTCCCATGAAAAATTTTTGAAGATATCTCTTCCAATGAAAAATTTTTGTCGGCAATTCCGACTTATGAACAGCCTCTTCGAGCGAAAGGTGCATGTGTAAAATTCCAGAATGATACCTCAAAAATTGAAGGACTAGTTGGCGTACATACAGACAGTCAGATGAGTATCAACTCAGCTCGTCATGTGAATCATTTACTCTATATGTGTACTTTATGGAGTCTCCGATGTTTCCTTTTGTTTGTTACAAAAATTGTGACAAATTTAATTTACGCTATTCAAGGTATAAATTTTATATGTCCAATGTGCTCATCATCGTTAAAAAGTTTTGCTCGATGTGAACAAACTCTGCGCTTTCAACTCTTGCTATCCAATTTCTTTTCGACTGAAACATATTCTCCTCTACCGGCTACACACTGAGCATTTCTAGCAATAATACTCTAACATTTCAATATCCTTGGCATAAACTCTGTGCTCCGTCTATGCCACTTTATCATGTTTATAAAAATGAGATCTCAGTTATAAGATTATTAGTTCCACATGGTTGAGTTTTTTTTGTAAAAGTAGAATAATGATTAACTATTAACTCTTTTGAAGTAATTTTTCGATATGTCTTGTATTGGGTTACTAAAAAATTCTTCAATCAACTGAATAGATGAATACAATTTTGGCTGTGTCAGATCGGACAAAGTCATCGCTTTCTTCGGTCTTTATATCGCAGAGTACTCAAATAGTGTTAACTCCGTTTCCTATTAAGTTCTCTTATTATGGTCTCGAATGTTGCTTTGCTTCAGATCCATCGCTGAAACGAAACGTTTTTCAATAAAGTTTAAGTTAAAGTTAGTTTTTAGTGAATATGAATAATAATATTGTGAAATAATTTGAATATTTAAAACTAAATACTTAAGAAGAATTGTCAAATAACTGATAAGGAAGAGAATTTTTCATAAGATTAGCCTCTTAACAACAACAAAAGGGCTTTAAAGGCAGCAGTAAAATTATCTGATGCTAATTTTTTAAGGAGCCTACAATTACAAGTATAATTTGATATCCCTTTAATGGCCAAAATGCATCTTAAATACATTAGTTTTTGGAGTAAGAAAGCTTGGCAAGGCTGTAGGTCCTTTATTCTAATAAAAAAATTATCTACTGCTTATCAATTGCCATATCTTCTTGGAGTTAAGGCCACCGTAATAGATAGCGGCAGATAATTAGAATGTATAAGCCTTAATAGTGTATGGTGGTAGACTTAGGATGCGTGCGGCTTTGCTAAAGTCTTATTACAATTCACACAATGCCGTTCTCCATATGGCAGCCACATTTATCTTCCATTGTTTGACCAAATGGCGACGGATAAATGGCGGTGGCGATTATAGAATTTTAAGAAACACTTAGAACTATTGATTTTTTACTCAAAATTATTAACAAAAAAATATAAAATCTTAAAATTTGCAATCGCTTCACAAACATCTAGATGCCTAAACGGAAAAGAAAAGTATTTGAAATGTAGTTTGGTTTGATGAAACCTTATTAATTATATTTTATCGCTGCTTTTGTGGAAACTTTAATATTATATCAGCCAGTAAAGACCTAAGGCAATATACAATTAAGGCCAACAACTTTAATGCGGCCAAAAGCAATTTTCCAACCATAATTTATTGATGCAAATGGTGACCTTTTTCCACGTGTAAATAAATAAAATGAAATAAAAAGCACATTTTCGTGACTTACAAACACACCTGACGCCGCCATTATTGTCCCCAAAAACATTAATAAGGTTGACAGTTAAAAAAGAAAAAAAAAAGGTTAACTACGGTTGAACAGAAGCTGTAGCACCCTACAAAAGCAAAGAAGTTTCCATATTAGAACATGATACGCGATCGGTCACTAGATACATAACGAGCTAAGTATATCTAATAATGAGTCGATCTAATTAATGTTATCGGAGGTTATAGTGTTGTCTTAGGTAATGATTCGTGTCAAATTCGGGGAACATATGTTGTCACCTGAAAAAGTTCCCATTCAATATGTGGCTTTTGTTCGGTCACTTTATATTGCAGCTAAATGTTATAGAGGTCCAATAACGGCAGCTCTAACATACTCGTATAAGCAGCTTTTTGACAACAAATAGAGATGTGCGAGATTTCGGGTCGATCAAAAGCTGAAGGACTAGAGTGTATAAAAAGGCAAAAATAGATCGAAAATGCCAAAATAAAAAAATAAAAAATTATGGGAATAAAATATGTTGCTTCATAAAAGCATTTATATTTTATGGCTATGTGGTATATACGTACATATATACATATGTACTTGAAATTTATTAACATTAGTTACTTATTGTTCGCGCTGTGCTTAATTCCACTCTTCATCGCAGCATTTTATTTTTTACGTTTAATCCACTCAACACTCACAACACTAAGAAATAACAAATAAATAATAAATACCAATTACATTGCAGCTGTGTAGCCGATAACTCACTCGGACGCTCGCGCAAGTACATGGAGCTGTCTGGGCGCCCGGGCCCAGCTGAATTCTATTCACCGAAATGGGGTCGCTCGTCGGACAGCTACAATCTGACATGGAAAATAGATAGCTATCCGCCGCTGCAGGAGGTGCGTCTGCTCTATCGGCGTGTATTGGTGAGTACCTCTATGTACTTGTGTGTATTTGTATATGAAATGAACGTTGAATAAACGAAACTAGCTAAAAATCGAATCACAAAAAGGTGAAAAGTGTAAAAAATAAAACATGAGGCACCTAACAAAACGTAAACAAACACGATATGTTCAGCATAGAGGGGTGCAACTATAGTGAAATTGTTGCAATATTTGCATGTGTTTGTTTGTGTGCGAGTGTACATTTTAACTGCAAATAAATAAATTCCGAGTAGAGATAAAGAAAAGCGACTAGTATGCTGGCCTTTACATACACACACACACACATACACACTCACAGCCATTTTAAATGGGTAACTGTAAATTGCAAATATTGCAGCTGCAATTCGCCAAAAAACCGAAAGCATTGACAGCGACGCCGTTGACCCATTTATTTCTCAATATTTTATTGGTTCGATAAAAAAGACAAAAAAAAAAAAAAGAAATAACTGAAAATAGAGAAAAAACACACAAAAAATAAAAAAAAGAAGAAACTGTCCGAGTAAAAGCGAAAACACACAGAAATATTGGAAAATCGAAAAATGGCTACTGTTTGAAATGCATTTCTAGTTTCGAGGTTTTATTGTGATCGCTATTTTTTTTTTTTTGTTTTTGTGCTTTTTCCTTATGTAATTTGTTCCGTTATGTTTTTGTTAAAGCAAATATTACACTTAACCACAGTACAGTTATTTTTCGATTTCATTTTTATAGCATTTTATGGCATAGCTTAGTTTTACCTCGCTCCCAGTCGGCACGGCGCTAAAGTGCTTATGAATGGATGCTTGTGTATGTGCACGTTAGAATGGGTCGTTTTTTCAACAAAATCGCACATGAGAGAAATAAGCCACAAAAATTAAAAATTTTCATGTGCGGCAAATACTCTGCGGATCATTCTGAACAACCTTGCCTATGAGACTATGCGTTCAAACCCGCTTTAGAGCGATTTCTAAGGCGAAGGCAAGGCGAAAATCTGTATAATCGGCTGTATAGGAGATATACGATACAGTGCTTCGATCCACTCGGTTTCGCCAAATGATTAGTAGAATATCAAAATGCACCTGCGATTATATTTCATTCGGATATCTCGAAAATTGACGAATTGACGAACCAATTAGTACAATCGCTAGAAAAGTTCAGTTTAAAACTTTGGCTCAAAAGCGGTTTTAAATCCATAGTGTCGTAGGCGAAGTTGTTCAGAATTATCCGCAGAACATTTCTAGCATACGCGAATTTTGCGAAGTTGACCCGCTCTAATGCACATGCACGTTTGTGTCTCTGTATAGTATGTTCTTCCAACCGTTAGCTAGTTTTGAAAGTTTATTTATTATGCAGATTTATGTTAGTAATTAAATGGGTAACGGTATTTGTTTAGCAAAGTGTACACTTTTTTTTAACAATAAAATATATTTTATATAAATATATTTGCATTTTAATTGCGGATGGTAAAAATATTTGTCCGAATAAAAATTTAGTTTAAGCACACATGTGAATTAAGAAGCCTTACTTTTTATGTGCATATATTCAAGCTTCACTTATAAAACATACAGATTTATATCAATTAAAAATTCATATTGACAAGCATAAGTATTATGCAACGTTCTTCCTGTTAGAAAATTTTGAGACTGACTGCACCAATTACTACTGTAAAATGTACTTGCGAATGTTCAAATATGGTTTCTGAGGAAAAGACTAAAATAAAATATAAATTGTTCTCTATTTAAACAAAATTTATAAAATAGTGTTGCCAAGAAAAAAAATATAGCGGCTCTAAGTTTTCCAAATGAGTGCGAAACTGAGTCAGTCGATAAATGTTGAAAAAAGAAAAAATTAATGAAAGCAGTACAACACATAAACTTCAGTTTGAGCCTTCACAAGTATAAAAGGTTCTATGCAAGACCACGATTTTGATCGGTGAGTTTGCAAGGTACAGTTCAAGCCAAATTTCTTCAAGATATCGTCTCAAACTCAAAAGTTCTTGATCATCGGATTATTCAACTTGTATGGCAGCTATATGCTATGGTGTTTCGATAGCGACGATATCTATAAATTAACTGCTTCTCGTGAGAGAAAGTACGTCTGATCGTTTGAGATCGTTTTCTTAAAAGCTTATGGACTAGTTCGCATTTACACAGTCAGACACACGGGCTTATCTTCCAGATCGGATCACTATAGCATATAAGTTCCATTCCAACAATTTATCAAAATAAAGTTGTTGTAAAAAATAAGTTGCATTTCTTATTTAGTGTACCAATCAACTGATCAAAATTGGCCCGGACTTAAAAAAATACTTTTCAACTACTTTTATATAAATCTTCAATACCGCCAACAAATTTGGTTCCTGCCGGACCAAACACCAATTTTCCACACTTGTTATGAAACTCGGTTTTGATGGGATGGCTTCATTGAGTTCAGCAAGTGACCTTTAATTTTTTCAATGGACTCTATGCGCGAATTGTCCCATTTCCAGAATAGGGGGAAAAAAAGCCACAAGAAACCACACCGTGCGAAAACGCTGGTTGAGCTATGACTCAACATTGGGAAACCATGCATTGTCTATATAATGATCGGGACAGAAATATGGTAAAGAAAACCAAAACTCGATGAAATCAGTTACCTGGATGTAAAACTGCAAAAGTCCTATACAAAACTATAGATCGGAAGTGCACAAAATTCCTATTGGCACTCCATARGAGGGACTKTAGGAGCAAGATGAGAGAGAATATTAACTGATCACTGTCTGTTGGTTACACACCTCCGCAGAATGGAACTGACAGAGCGAACAAGGCACGAGGGAAACAATGGAGCATCACTTGTGTACTTATCTCGTATTAGCAAGACTGCACTGTAAAAATCTTAGGCACACTAGAGGAGGTATCGTAAGTGAGACTACAAAGTCTGGCAATATTCGCTTCAAGCGCAGCTATGCTCATGGACTTATTAACTGAACTCCATCTGGTATCGTAAGGACCAAGAGTGGTCTGTGCATGGCTCATTGRCCTACCAGATTAACCTAACCTTGACACTTACTGAAAAATAGAGATTAAAATTTTTTGTTGCAATTTGGATGGCGTGCGCGGTTTAAACTACATTTGGATGTTATCCAGCTTGAGAATCGGACAGGCCAATTAGAGAATTCCTTATTTAAGTTAATTGGCAAATAAATTTTGAAACGCTGCTAAAAAGCTCTCATTAAGCTACTCTAAAAGAGCTTTTAACACAAGCTTTTGACATAGGCTTTTAACTTAAGCTTTCACAAAATATATTTCGAATGCTCTCAAAGCTTCCTTTTGTCAAGTGACGATTTTTGTCTTATTTCTATTATATTTGACCTGGCGAGCAATAGTAATTACTCAATTAGTGGGAAATGTGAGAAATTCTCATTAATTAAGCTATACTAGACTCTAATTATGCAATTTACAAGTACCGAAATCATTCCCTCACAGTAGTTGCATAAATTTTGAGTCCTATTATGCGTTCCTAAGTATCGTTAACGATTTGGGGCAGCTGTAACTACTCAGAATCAAAGTCAATTCATTAAAAGCAATATTTTACTTACGTCAGTGCATTACATTTATGTCATTAATGAAGTCTCATTAAAATCGCAGAGAAATTGATGATATTTGCAGCGATATAAAGCAGGCGATGAACCGTTAGATTTTGTATAAACTAATGAAGTTGAAGATTTCAAGCACTTTACACGTTACTAAAATACCGTTAATTGAGATAAATGCATTGATGACAAGCGAGTTTATAATTGAAGAAATCAGCAATACAGCCAACTAATGAGCGGCAGGTGAAGCAGTAAGAAACTGCTGGAAGATTTACAATATATGCAGCGCAAATCCAAAGCTATTAACGAGCACGCGCTTACAAGGTGTTGGAGTGGTGTAGCTGTGTGCGAGTGTGATTTCTATTGATGCGTGGCATATTTAAGACAAATTTTATTGAAAAATACTTATTCGTGTTTTTGTAATTACACTGCAACTCTSTTACGCGTTTCCAATCAGCACATACACACACACATACACACATATACATACATGCATACTCATACATTTATTGGCATATAGGTTTATAGGTTTGTGTCACATGCCACAAACAGTATTATACCGCCACACTTTTTGAAAAGAAAATCTCATTAATTCCTTTTGCATTTTGTTATTAATTTTCATATTGCCGTGGGGAAACACAAACACAAAAAAAACACACATATATGTAGATATGTACGCATGTTGCTGATATTTTTTTATTTTGCCATAATTAAGTGCAATTTTCACCGGTGTACGCACACACAGGTGCTTCGTTGGCACTCAGGCACTCAGGCACTCYCACAMACACACGCACACACATGCAATGAACGCTTGCAGTTTTCGCCGATTGCGTAAAATCTCATTTGTTTTGTTGCTGAGATATTGCTGGCATAAAATCGCTTACACTCGTGTGCAATTTGTTTTCGCATGTGTGTGTGTGTGTGTGTGTGTGCGTGTTTGCATGTGTTCGCTTGCATTTAAGCTCACAGACGCTGTTTTAATACAATTTTAATCACATACTCCATTAATGCTCGACAATTATTCAGAGCAGCGTGACGATGTGTGTATTTTTTCCAACGTTGACAGCTGCCCGAGGCCTTCACGCGCTAGCGAGCGAAGTAAAAAAAATTGTTAAAAAAATAAACTACTGTAATATTAATTACATTTTTTTAATGCTGGGGCTACCAAATAGCTGTTAAGGTCGCCAGTAATACAAATAAATCCAATAGTGTTTACTTTCTGAAATTAAATTTACTCCGCTGTTTTGCTTGMGAGAGGAAAATTAACGGTATAATATACTCTTAAAATACTGAATTGAGAAACTTTTATATGCAGAAACGTCTTTARGCAATTGAGCAAAGTTATGGTTTTAAGGAAAGATCAGTTTCCTGGAGCTCAGCAGGACTTACGATCCATGGAGCTCACGTRGTGCATTTTGCATTAAAACTCACTCATTCAGATAGTTTAAAGGATGATGTGTGGCAATTATCAATACCACCGTATTGCAAGCTAGTAAGCCAATAAATTGGCTTTCGAAAAAAATCTACTCTTCCCCCTACACTGAAGAGGTGTCTATGAACTACCAGAGCGTTCGTCAATCATCAATAAAGAAGGGGTTCCTTAGAGTGGTGTTTTCTCCCCATTACTGTTTAACTTCTACGTGTTGAAACTCCMGCAACCACCTGAGGGAATTTTTATCATCTCGTACACTGAGGATTGCTTGATAATGACGCCGGAATCGCTGGAATCTAACGAAAACGGCTACCTCTCCGACCTTTTMGCTTTATCGCTGTACGGAACTTCACAATCTCCCTCACTAAATTCAAAGCGACCATATTCATAAACTGGTCGAAGAAGTATAGACTTCGCCCTAATATTGCATTCGATGGCCTTATGATTCCGACTGTCAATAACCATAAAATTTTAGGTGTGAATTTCTATAGCCTGTGCTTCTTCACTTCTCAGACGACCGCGATTATTGCCAAAGTACATAGCCGTAATAAAATCCTCAAGTCACTAGCCGGCAGCACATGGCAAAAAGACAAAGAAACGTTGTTGGCAATATACAAAGCAATCAGCCGGCCGGTCCTCAACTATGCCGCACCAAATATGGTCGCCTGGATGCTTTACTTTGAACAAAGACAGGATGCTTCTTGATGTCTTCCATCGAACACCCACAGTTGTGGAGCATAATAAACTCCTCTCCGAGCAGTTTCTGCTAGTTTGCTTTCGTAGAAATCATCCCTGTAGTCACCTGTTTGGAGCGAAGCCGCTTGCCAGG